AGGCCATGCAATCCATATTCGTCAGCATCTGCCTCGCCGCAAATACACCTGTGAACAGTGTGGATAGGGGCAGCAAGGCGGAGAGCGACTGCAATACGGAGCTCCTGCGGATCAAGACGTGTGCCTGTCGCAGACATAGGGACTGCCAGAAGGAAGTCCCCTGCATGGGGAGCCTGCACAGCTGTGAGGCGTGCACGATCACTGGGGGTTGTTGCTGCCTCCAGCAAAGCTGTGGCTTCTTTGTCTACAATGGGGCTGTCCCAACTGGATTGTTTCTTGGCTTTCGGCATGGCTGGTCTGAGTGCTGGGTCTGTCATGGCACCCCATTTCGTGTCACATTCCGTGTAGTGGGGGTCCTGTATCCCCGCTACATCACTCAGGGTGTCAGGTAGAATTTCCTTAACCAGGTCATCTGATGCTGAGGAGGAAGACAGGAAGGCTGGGACTGCAATTTGGGTGGCGGTGCGGACACCCAAGCCACCGAGCCTGACAGGAAGAGTGGCTTGTTTCCACTGGCATTCGTTGAGAGAGAGGTTAACAACTTTTTCCAGCATGGTCTTCAGTAGGAGGTCATACTCGTCAAGCTTTGGGTTGTTGTAAGATGGGGCGCACCTCAGAAAGTAGGTTAGCCTCGGAAGGGATAGGCATTTGGTGAGGAGATAAAAAGCATCGTGGGCATCGATGTCCGGGCGGGCATCGACGGGCATATATATATATATATATATATATATATATATATATATATATATATATATATATATATATATATATATATATATATAATCAATGTTGGGCATGCATTATACATGCTTGAAATAATTAATAAATTCACCAAAAACTTTTTTTTTTTTACTGCTAATAATATATCGGAAACTGATTGACTTTTTTGCCCGTAAGAAATTGAAATTTTGTATTTTCAAGATACGACACGCTCTCCAAACTTTGCTAGCGTGACTGGGCACACTGTTTATGGTAATGAGTCTTGGCATTAGCACTTTTCATATTAAACCTCACCCACGAGCATCATTCATAACATTTACGCTCTACAAGGAAATCCATTAATAAATATAATGAAAGGCTCCCAGTGGTGGATGGATGGATGGATGGATGGATGGATGGATGGATGGATGGATGGATGGATGGATGGATGGATGGATGGATGGATGGATGTATTATCACTGGGAGTTATTGAGAAGATGGTTTAGGATTTGTACTACTATGGTTCATAAGGTTGTTAAGAGCGTGTTTATTATTATTATGTGGAGGTTCGAAGCCTCCTCGTGAAGCCTCCTGCTCCTTTCTTCTTCTTCTTCTTCTTCTTCTTCTTCTTCTTCTTATTATTATTATTATTATTATTATTATTATTATTATTATTATTATTATTATTATTATTATTATTATTATTATTTATTGTTACAGGGGCGTGTTCTCAGTACGGGGACGCGGAGCACATCACTGCCATTCTGGGGGAGTCGGTCATCCTTAACTGCCCCGTCTCCCACCCTAAGGTGCCCCACATCATCCAGTGGAGGAGACAGGTACGTTGGCACTACCTCTTGTCGGCCACTGTGGCTACCTAGTGCCATTCTCCCACGGTGACGCGCACTATTTCTGCTCGCTCACGTTATATCACCAATTACTTATTTCCGTCATTACTCATTGAAGAGTAAGATGCCCATTTTATTCCCACAGTCACTCACCGCACCTGGAATCACTCAAGAGTCACCCTCGAAAGTGACTAATCGCAACTGTGAGAGGGATTTTGTATATAAATATACTTAGGCACATTTAACATTTATAATGCTTGTTCTAGAATATATGAAGGGTTACAGAGTTGGTCATGAGCCAGGTGTGTCATACACTAGGTACCTCACACCGGTCAGGTTCAAGGAGTGTAATGACTAGACATTCAATAATGTATGGGGTCATGATCCAGTTCGTCCCCCTCCCCTCCTTTATTTATTAACTCACTTAGGTACATCTGCATTAATGCAGCTGCCCTAGACTATATCAAGGGGGAGTACAGAGTGTGTCAAGAGTGATGCTAACAGTCGCCATCACACAGGATGGTTAGTCATGCAGGGCCATTTGACCAGTAGTCTGCACTGGGCTAACTTTCCCTGCATTGTGAGGATATCCTCAAGAACACAAGAATGAATAGGGGTAACAGTGATACTAGACAAATCCCCACCACACAGGATGGTTAATCTTACTGGACCATGTGATCAGTAGCCTCTACTGGTAAATTGTGGATGCATTATTACCTTAGCGTCCTCGCAGATAAGTCTACGGTGACCACCAACCACGTTTTGTTTATTACACCGTCCGAAGTCCACTACGGGCTCACCATAGCCCGTGCTACTTGCAGCTTTTGTTTAGAGTAGCTGAATCTAAAACATCAACAACAACAACAACAACAACAACAACAACAACAACAACAACAACAACAACATCGTTCGTCATGTCAACGGAAGACTTCAGTGGAATTTATTTTGGTGTGAATTAATGCCTGTAGCTATTATAGTCAGCAGCAGTTTTTTACCATATCTCTGTATTATGCAAGGAATTTGATAATATAGAAAATCCAACAAGATCTAATTTGTGGTGGTTGTGACTGGTGATTGTTGATAGGTGAGAAATTTGTGTATTGTGACTATTAAGTTAGATGTAATAAAATGTTAGATGTAATAAATAGGTTTCTTTCAAATTCAGATATAATATAGATTCATCATGTATAACAATCAGTTGTAGCTTAGTGTCGAGAAAATTAGTTCTTGAATTGAAACACTTAGGCAAGACTAGCTCTATGTTGTAACAAACTAGGTTTGTTGTCGGAATACTTTAGTATTTCGTAACGTAACGTAACGTAACCTACCTGTAACGATTCGAGAAAGAGACCTGGGAGTGGATGTGACACCTAATCTAACTCCTGAGGCACATATAAATAGGATAACGACAGCAGCGTACTCTACACTGGCGAAAATTAGAACTTCATTCAGAAACCTAAATGAGGAGGCTTTTAGGGCGCTTTACACTGCCTACGTGAGACCCGTCTTAGAGTATGCCGCGCCATCATGGAGCCCCCACCTGAAGAAACACATAAAGAAACTGGAGAAGGTTCAGAGGTTTGCGACGAGGCTTGTCCCAGAGTTACGAGGGATGGGATATGAAGAGCGTCTGAAGGAACTGAGCCTTACGACACTAGAGAAAAGAAGGGAGAGAGGAGATATGATAGGGACATATAAAATACTCAGGGGAATTGACAAAGTGGAAATAGATGAAATGTTCACACGTAATAATAACAGAACGAGGGGACATGGGTGGAAACTGGAAACTCAGATGAGTCACAGAGATGTTAGGAAGTTTTCTTTTAGCGTGAGAGTAGTGGAAAAATGGAATGCACTTGGGAAACAGGTTGTGGAAGCAAATACTATTCATACTTTTAAAACTAGGTATGATAGGGAAATGGGACAGGAGTCATTGCTGTAAACAATCGATAGCTGGAAAGGCGGGATCCAAGAGTCAATGCTCGATCCTGCAAGCACAAATAGGTGAATAGGTGAGTACACACACACACACACACACACACATTGTACTGCATTGGATAAAGGAGAACCTAAGCAACAGAAGACAGTGAGTTACTGTGAGGGGCGAGTTTTCAGATTGACGAAGTGTCACCAGTGGAGTCTCACAGGGTTCAGTCCTTGGACCTATACTGTTTCTGAAATATACGAATGATCTCCCAGAGGGAATAGACTCGTTCCTCTCAATGTTTGCTGATGATGCAAAAATTATGAGGAGGATTAAGTCAGAGGAAAATAGTATGAGACTACAAGATGATCTAGACAAACAATGAATGGTCCAACAAATGGTTATGACAGCTCAACCTGAGCATATGTAAGATAATGAAACTAGGCAGTGGAAACAGAAGGCCAGAAACAGGATACTGAATGACCGAATGGGAGATGAAGTCCTCCATGAAACGGTTAGAGAGAAAGATCTAGGAGTTGATATCACACCAAACCTGTCTCCTGAAGCTCGCATAAAAAGAATAACATCGGCGGCTTATGCGAGGCTGGCTAACATCAGAACTGCCTTCAGGAACCTGGGTAAGGAATCATTTAGAGCCTTTTATACCACATACAAACCTTGTATGTATTCAAGATAACCTCAAGATAACCACATATGTAAGACCAATCCAGGAGTATGCGGCCAGAGCATGGAGCCCGTCCCTTGTTGTTGAGTGTTGCAGCAGGGTAAGGAAATTGCCACTTTGACTGACAAGGTAAGGAAGCAGAAAGAGCAAATCAAGGAACCAGAGAGAGAATATGAGACATGGATATTGAAGGGAAATGAATTTGAAGAAATAAACAAAAAGAGAGATATGGACAAGAATTAAGTGAAAGTATGCACACCAGCAAGTTAGGCAAGGAATTTATACAAAAAAACAAAAATCCATGGGCTTCTCAAATGGAAGAATCTACTAGGGATTTGGAAAAGTGCAAACAGGAAATGAAAGAAACAAGTTGTAAAAGAGAAAGAAACAATCAAGGAAATATGCTTGGAAACCAGGATCAGACATCAGAGAGGCAGTTCGAAACAAGCTGTTATTAACAGCAAATTACTACAGAACTCTGTAGATAGAAGTAAGTCTATAATAATTTTTTGGATGTTTGGAAAAGGAGATGCTGTCTAGGGTGGACAGAGCATCGGAAAAGGAAAAACAATTGAGAAAATAGTAGGTTTAGGGGGAAGGACTTAAAGTGATTTTTGAAATTGTATTTTTTCCACATTTTTCACAACCACATTTTTCAAATGTGGTTTTTCCGCATGCTTGAATCAGTGTTTTTGTGATCGTCGTTTCACAAAAATATATAATATGTGATCTTTATATTAAAATATTATTTCCTTATACTGTAATACTTTTTAAGTTAAGAAGTTATAAGGGTATTAAAGAGATAATTTTTATTTTCAGCACCAAAAAATTCCCATTTACATATGGTATGATGGGTATGACCCCCATGTGGAAGAAAATTATAAGGGTCGTGCATCACTGGTTTCTCCAGACACATCCTATGGGCTGGCCTCACTCAACCTCACTTCAGTCAGGGAGGACGACCAAGGCTGGTATCAGTGTAATGTTTTCTACCTCGATCGCAGCGGTGTTGAAAATGGTACCTGGATACACCTCGATGTTCATGGTAAGAGCTGTTACTAGTACTGTTAACCAGCTGAGATTGAAAACACTTCCAGTACAATTACAACATTTGCATCTCCTAACTCAAACACATTTATCCCACTCCCACATATTGTTATTTCTTCATGTTCCTTGTACTACTCCTCATCATTTCATGTCTTTTCTTTTTCTCTATACAGTACAATACTAACTTCTTTTACAATTTATTACATGTATTTCTCATCAATATGCCTTTTCCATTCTGTTGAGGCTCCATTTTTAATTCACACATAAAATCATAATTCATTGTATTTTGTCATAATTATATATTTTTGTTTAATGAGGTTCAGTGAAATCTTATTATAATATATGTAATGTATATGTAATTCAGATGTAATTTTTTCCAACTACATTAAAATTAGGAGAACAAATTATACACAAAACTATATATACAAACTATAATACAAAACCATATACACAAATAAAATTAATGATTAGAAAACCTGAGAGAATAATCTTTATTTTACTGTTAATTGCAGCACCACCTCGATTTACCACAACTCCTGATGATGTTACCTATGTCAATATTGGTGACTCCATCATTCTTAATTGTGAGGCTGAGGGAACTCCAAAGCCCGAGATCTTCTGGTTCAGGGATAATGAACCAGTCGACCCTTCAGAAACTGTGGGCATCTTCAATGATGGTACAGAGCTTCGAATTAACAAAATACGTGACCAAGACATCGGAGACTATGTGTGTGTGTCGCGGAATGCTGAGGGAAGAGTTCATCATGAAGCCAAAGTTGTTATTGCAGGCATGTGTATAAAGATTTCCTTTGTTCACACAGAGGATTCTTCCTTGTGGCCACATTCACTTTGCTGAAATGCCTTAGTTCCTGGAACACATTATTCCATATTTTTCCATGTTCTTTCTTTTTTTCCCTTGTGTATTTTTCTTCTTACACCTTCCTTATTCCACATTTATTTATTTGTTGAGACATACTTCTTCCTTTCCATACCTTTTTGTTGCATAATGAAGCCAGGCAGTGACTTTCATTTGTTTAATTGACAACTGGCAGATCTAATAATTTACAATGCAGATTTTGTATTTAACAAATTTAGGAAGCAGAAAGGTATTTTTGAAAGACAGTAGGAAATGCAACAAGGATGTGGAAAAGCCTAGTGAAATATTAGTTTTCCTTTAGAATGTTAATTGATGAAGAAGAAATTAACACTAGGTGCTGGGAGTACATTGAAAAGGCTTATGGATAGAACTTAATGTAATTTTCCTAATGTAAGAGAAGTGCAAGATAGAAAAATTGGAAGATTTATCATAGGTTGAGAAGTTCATTGCTGTAGTTCAGAAGCTGAATTGTGAAAAAGTTGCAGGTGTCTATAAAGTAATATATATGCATAACATTTTTAATTAAGTGGTGAAGTTTATTAGAGTGTTAAAACTTTACCAGAAAGCATTGGACTTTAAAGTAGAAATAGGCCATTGACAGATGACTGGAAAATAGCTGTGATTGTACATTTTTTAAAAATTAAGAATGAATATAATGAGCTTAAAAATTATAGTCATTAGTCTATTAAGGTTAGTTGCCAAAGTGTGTGACATAACACTTGTTAAAAGATTACAGAAAGTATCGGAGAAATTAATGCTGAACAAAATGGGTCAACAGTGGGAGAAGAATGCATGTGCATTATGTTTTTACAGTGAAGCTGCTAGTGGAGAAACATGTAAGAATGATGTAAGGTGTACATGAACTTCATGGTCTCAAAGAAAGTGAATGACATAGTGAATAAAGAGTCTCAGGTGAATAAATACTTCTATAGATTTGATGAAATGTTGAAGTGCTGTGAACATTTCTAATGTTAAGTGCATATTCCAACTTTGGTCTCTCAAAGGTTGTGAACGATTTCTTTAATATTTCGCCATCGGCGTGAAAGATATTGTGAATGGCTGAGTGTCTTGAGTAGCTTTAACATTTTCTTTTTCTTTTGTTTTCTCTTATCTTCATGGATTATGCATTCCCTCACCATTGAAAATGGAAACATGGAAGCGATTCACTATTTATTTTATTGCATGCAGTATTTGTATTAGTGTTTAATGAACATGTATACAGTATAGTACAGTACAGTGCCATTTGGTTATTCTAATTATAGTCTAAAATGTTGGCTGTAATTTCAGGTGGGGCGGTGATTGTAACGCCACCTCACAACCAGACACGCCAGGAAGGGGAGAAAGTTGAATTTCCATGCGAAGCAAAGGCTCTTCCAGGAAATGTGACAGTTACCTGGAAAAGAGAAGGCGTCTCCATTGATAAGCTTTCCTGGTTAGATACTCGATCTATTATCAGGAGAGATGGTACACTCATTATTAATCCAACAAGTGCGGATGACGGTGGCTTTTTCACTTGTGAAGTTTCCAATGGAATTGGAACACCTCAGAAAGCCACAGCCTATCTTAATGTTGAATGTAAGTGAACAGTTCTGTGTTGATTAATCTTGTCAGATACTATGGTATTTGATATACAGCACTTACTGCATGCATAAACTCTTAAGGAAGTATACACATTAAGGATAAAGAAGCAAAGAAAATACATGACAGATATGAAAGTAAAGATTTTCTTTTAGTATCATATCCAGTAAAAAAACAGGGCTAATAAATTAAATTTATGATTGTTTATCACCCTGTTTTTTTAAATGTACTAGAATTGTGATTAATCCTTTCTTTAAGTTTAATATTTCTAGAAATAAATTGTATTTCATTGCTAACCAATGCTGTTATCACTCAGATAATGTCTTAATTTTCAGACCCTGCACGTGTAACATATACACCAACTGTACAGTACCTTCCCTTTAGACAACAAGGTATTATTAAGTGCTTTATAAAGAGTAACCCACCAATCCAGTTTGTTACTTGGATCAAGGACAAACGACTCTTTGATGTTGAAAATGAGAGCACAGTTGTCAAGCTTAATAATGGCTCACTACTGATAACCAAGGTTTGTTATTGTGATCTGAGTTTATGCTGAGTAAATCCCCTTTATTAAAAAAAGGGCTATACTGTATACCTGTGCATGAAACTTTTACTAAAGTTTTAACACTAAGTTATTTTCACCTTAGAATTACTTATAGTACAGTATTACTATCAGGGATTTATCAGGTTAAGATTTACTTAGTTTTTTAGGTATCATTAACCCTCAGACCGCTAAAGGCCTTTTTGCCTTCAACCCCCACAGGCGCAACAAAAAAAAGAATCCAAAAAATTCTTTCGTCTTATAAAAGTGTTCATTTCTGTTCCCTGATCACGGGAAAAATAATAAAAAAATTGTAGGTTGGCATATTTTGGCTACAATAGGGTGGGGAAGTCTTGCAAAAAAGAGGCGTTGACAGAGCAGCCGCCAGATGAGGTCTGCTCCGCCCGAGCTGTCAGGCAGCAGTTGCCACGAAGATATTTATTATTACCTAATTATTTCAATGTCTCGATTGATTTTTTCTTTGTTTTTTGCAGTAATATTCAATAGTGTGTATTGTGATGTATTTATGTAATAAAATGTGTGAACCATTGCTGTACTCAAAATTATAGAGTGCCTATTAATGATTCAATTATTATGTTCATAAAACAATAAACAAATAGTTTTGCTGTTATTACACTATATACTCAGGTTATATATAAGTATTTGCATGTTTTGCTCACCATAACGAACCACTAAGTTGGTATTGTGAGTCAAAAAGCAACGAGGAGTGACTGCCACACGTCAGCCAGCCATTCGATGCCACTCCCACCCTCACAAGTCAAGCCTGGCCTCGGGCCAGGCTTGGAGTAGAAGAACTCCCAGAACCCCATCAACCAGGTATCAACAACACCTCACTTGCCCACATTCTCCTCCCACGATACTGTTTTTGGATTTATTCACTATACACAGACATTATACATAAGTATTTACATGTTTTGTTCACCATAACTATACATCTAAGCTTGTATGGTGAGTAAAGGCAATAAGACGTAGCTACTCACACAGTCAGCTGGTGGCGGCCGCCCTCAATGCCAGGCGCACTAATATTTCTCCTCCAACAATACTGTTTGTGGTGTTATTACACTATATACACACATTATATATAAGTATCTACATGTTTTATTCACCATACCTGTACAAATAAGCTGGTATGGTGCCCAAAAACCATAGTGGCCACCAGTAAACAACATGACAAGTCGTGCAGATGACACACCTCCTTCACCAAAATAGCGGCTCCCAACATACTCCTATTGCTGTTATTACACTCTATACACACGTTATATTTAAGTATCTACATTTGTGTTCACCATAGTAAACCACTAAGCTGGTATGGTAAGTCCAGTCAATAAAAAGTGGGAGGAGGATGTTTGGTGAGGGAGGGAGGGAATCCAGGTAGCGTCATTGTGTGTGGCAGTCACTCTTGTTTTGCTCACCTTACTAGCTTAGTGGTTCGCTATGGGGAACACATATGTACATGGGTATATACAATGTGTGTATATAGTGTAATAACAGCAATAGGAGTATGTTGAGAGGAGCCATTTTGGTGAGGGGAGGTGGCGTCGTAATCGTAGCATCGTCTGCTGACTGCTGTGTAATTTCTCATGCAGTGTATGGTGGCCACTGTGTTGTTTGGACACAATACCGGCTTACTTGCATAGTTATGGTGAATAAAACATGTAGATATGTATACATAACGTGTATAAATGTAAGAAAATAGTGTAATAAAAATAATAACAGTATGGCAGGAGGAGGAAAGTTGGCGAGTAAGGTGTAAGGAGTAAGCTAGGTGTTAGAGAAGTGAGGGAGAGCTGGCTGGGTGTGGCAGCTCACACTCGCAGAGTTCTGAGTGTGTTGATGGTGAATGTATATAGTGTGTGATAGTGTATAGTGTGTAAATATATTGTAAATATACATAAATGTACATGAAACATTGGATATATGAGCAATATATGTGGACACATTTGAGACACATATAACACAGTGTCTTGGGACTGTACGAATGTTTCACTGCCGTAATATTGTGTACGTGTTCATTATACATAGGATTGGCAAGAAAACACAAAACAAATGTATTTGGAAATGTACGCAAAAAATGAACAAAAAAATATTTGTGGTAACTCGCGCTTGTTAAAGCTGGTGGGCAACTGGCTCCGGGAGTCTACATCATGGGCGACCACCAAATCGTGACGTCGCACACCGTTTTTTGGACTCCCATTGTGGCCAAAGTAAGTACAATTTAGATTTTTTTTTTTATCTGTGATCAGGGAAGAGTATTTAACATTTGACAACAAAAAGAGTTTTTTCCAGAGAATTTATTTCCTGCGCACAAGGGGGGATGCCGTATTTGGAAGGCGAGCAGCACAGTGGTTAAGGCTCGCTCTTGCCTTGCGAATATTTTTAAATATATTTTCCTACCATGATATATTATATCATGGCAGGAATATATTATATCATGGCAAATATATTTTCTCCTCCACTGTGGGCCAGGCTGGTTAAATTAAATGGCTTAGATTCCTTACCTGTCTTTGCGTCGGATTCAACTGCAGCTGCTGCCTTGACCAAGTTGTTCATGCTAATCCTTGTTGATATGACGGGAAAAGCTTAACTTAATTGAGAGCAGCAGGCATAACCACACTAGCCTCAAGAATAAGTCTAGGAAGCATTAATTTTTAGAAGTCACTTTAAAATAACTCTTAAAATATTTAATTCATAATTCTCAAAATAGGTAAACCAGTCACACCAAGGTCGCTACAGCTGCACACCTTATAACCGTCATACGACAGCAGGAGCATCAGGCGACATGGAAGTAAGCCATCATTTTTAATTTGATTTAGACCTTAGAACGGAACTCTTCATGACTTAGTTTATTCAATAACTCTGTAGAAATACTATCATAATTATATTTTATTTTTTAAATTGACATAGCACTAAAGATAAATCTCTTATTATCTAATAGGTATTAGTTCGTGATCCACCCGTGTTTGCCCCACGACCTCAGCCACAATACCATGGCCAAGTAGGCGAGGAAGTAACCCTTGTCTGTGGGGGTCAAGGATCACCAACTCCAGAAGTCACTTGGAAGAGGGTATGTCATGCTTTGTATTTTTTAACCGAAGTGAAATTTTAGTCATGCTTATAGTTCAGTCATGGAAATGGGCTTTAGGAGCTAGATTTGTGCTTTGGGGAAAGAGAATGGGGTACTATATTTTACCAAAATTAACATTCATCATAAAGTATTTTTTAAGTGTGGAAAATATTTAGAATATGCAACAGGCAACCAACAAACTTAAATATTTAAAGACTTACAGTAGAGATAATATAGCTGGATGTATGTTTTGAAACATAACAGATCTTAATTAAACAGTGCTGAATATGGATATGTAAAAATACTGCCTCTCAGGAATTGGTTATACTGTATGATGTGTACCCCATTTTCATTCATGCTAATGTATCTTCCTGAATTAGACTTGTTTATTTAAGATTATAATGTAATATGAGACAATCATTGGAGCAGGACAGTTACCTGCTCCAGGTCACTGATCGAACCAGTAACCTAGATAACCACAGATGCCTGCCTAAACCCATAGACCATGTCATGCTAAAACTTCTATAACTTGGGATCCGCTCAAATCCACAAAGAGTCTGAAGACATCAAGCTAGTAGCCAAACAAAGTTTTACATATAACCTGCATGCACTCTGGTGTACGTAATGGAGTTTTTCATCAAATGCTCCTTCAAATACGCAAGGAAATCACAATACAGTAATATGATATGTCTATGAGAAAATCATTAAAGCAGGATGGGGATTGAACCAGCATCCTGGGTAACCCCAGACATGCACCTTAACCCCGCTTCAATGATTTTCTTACAGACATATCACATTATTGTGATTTCCTTGTGCATTTGAAAGGAGCATTTGGTGGAGAACTTCTACCAACACCAGAGTACATGGAAGTTATATGTAAAACTTGGGTTGACTACCAGCTTGGTGCCTCCAGACTCGTGCTCCTAGTGGATTCATGTGGATCCCAGGTTATATATAATATTTACCATGTTGTGGTCCATGGATTAAGGTTTGTATCTGGGGTTCCTCAGGATGCTAACTCAATCCCTGTCCTGCTCCAATGATTTTCTCATGAGTATGTATCAAGTTATTGTGATTTGAATATTGTAATATATTCATGTCTCATTAGTGCAATAATACAACAGCTACTTTCAGTATGAATACATTATCATTATTATAGAATAATAGGGTTATATTGAACAAAGTATTTAGAGGCAGTTTTATATGGGAAAGTAATGACAATTTTGTCCATCCTAAACCATTATCAAGTCGAGAATTAATATTGATTCAATACGAATTGAAATGTGATCTCTTATGTTGTTTGGGTTTTGCATTTATTTCAATAATATTAGTCATATTTACTCTTCATTTAGAAAGATATTCTGTACATGTTATTGCCATAAATAAATGCAGGTAATTATTTATAAAAAATTCCATTCACAGCGTGATGGTCAGAATTTGCCTCGAGACCGTACGCACATTGTAGGTGGCAACCTTACCATTCGAAACCTTCGCAAAAGTGATCATGCATATTATGAGTGCATGGTTAGTAATGAGATTGCTACCTTAGTAACAGCAACACAGCTACTGGTGGAAGGCACAACACCACACCCACCATATAACATCTCAACTGAAACCCAGCCTTTTAGCATAAAGTTGTCTTGGCTCCCAGGTTACCCAGGGGGAAAAGATTGGGAGCAGCAGTATACCATATGGTAAGTTCATGGATATTGTATTAAATTTAATTATACATATTAATTTAATATATATATTTGTTTAATTTCTACACTCTTAACATAAGCGTATAGAATACAGGACTATGTGAGTCCATCTCCTTGATTTCAGTTCTCAACCAGATCATTTAGCTTGTTTGTGCTTATGACCCACATTCTAAGGGTATTGCTGTTTGGCATATCTGACACTTTGAATGTTCTTGCCGTGTTTCACCTTAGACAGTTAATTGTCCGTCGGTAATTTCTCTCTGAGAAAATTGAAAGAAAATTTGCAAATGCTTTAAGTAGATTTAAAACCAGTGATGATGGAGTGAAAATCAGATAGGGAGAGGTCTATATTTGTATGTTTTCACACTCTTATTAACTAATTATTAATTTATTAATTATTTAATTTGTCTACAATTTATTAACAACACAGTACGTGTATTTATAACTAGACAAGTAGTCTTATTCAGGGGCACTCATTGTACCATCTTCTTTCCTTTCGTAACTTTCTCAACTAACACCTGTGCAAGTTCTTCTTCTGCCAGTTATTTAATTAACCTGATTTGATAACTTCTTAAACTTGTCCATTTACACTTACTTAATTCACACTGAATTTCCTTTTTGCATGTCCACGCTGACTAAACTCGTCTTCTCTCTTATATGTCATCAATGCTTTCAACTCATTTACAATTAGTCTCATTTTCTGCTAGAAGAACTGCATTATCTTCATTCCTTAAATTTGATGTACTTATTGCTCTCCACTTATTCTTGTCATCTAAAAGATTCATACAGCTTCCTGGTCTTTTTACTTGACTATCCTAATGATCTATTCTACTGTATTTACAAATACATCCCCCACAGGTACCGAACTTTAGGGTCTCGAACTTGGTCACAAATTGACGTCAAGCCACCTGGGAGCACCAGTGTCACCATTTATAATCTAATCCCAGATCACACCTATGAAATTCAAGTGCAGGGAAAGAATATGCTGGGGGATGGCATGTTTTCTGATATTGTGACAGCCACCACAAAAGGTACAATTCATAATATTTACTCTTTTGATTTATTTGAAGCACCTTACATACATTGTTGACTAATGATGGAAAGTTTCAAGACTCGTGCCCGGCCACACATGCATGCACACACATGAGTGAGCATATACACACACACACGCACACATAATTAATTACTTAGGTAATTAATTACATAGCTGTTTCAAAGCATCATATGACAAAGAGTACTGGGAGAATGATACACCATGATCATAGCTCTCATCCTGTAACTACACTTAGGTAATTACACACACACACACACACACTCATACATGTACAAATTAATTCAAAATTTCATTAGTTAATATATATATATATAGTTTGAATATTACAAAATTGCATCCACGTATTTACATACAAATAATCATACGTTTACACATGTATCGCCCTATTAACTTTAGCTGTCTACTTACTGTTAATATACTAAGATATTTTCTGGTTGCTGACACAAAAGGTTCTCAAGGTTACAGAATACTGTGGAATGTTTCCAGTCAGGTAGAATGGTGAATGTGGACCATTCACTGTGATATGGTAAGATGAAAGCACAAGTTCAGTACTTTATTCATGGTAACTTAATCTGGTATATATATATGATCTCCACTTTAACCATTGAATGGTGGTTGTAGTTAGACATATATTGTAGGTTTGGTATATATATATAATACTAATGCATTCTATCATAATACTGGTAAACTAACATGGTGATGGCTATGCATATTCTTTAGCTGTAATTGTAGAACTTTAGTAATATTTATATTAAGTACTGTACTCCTCTTCTTGTCGCAGTGGTGGATATATACTGTACTCTCTTGTCCCTTATGGACTGTAGAAAAGTTTGTACCTCTACTGTTGTATGGTTTTTATATATACACCTAAGAGAAATAGTCACAGTTTAAAGATGATACATAAAAACCTCAACTGCATTTGTAGCCTCATTCTTTAAAGTTTTATTCCTTCAGAAAATGTTCCTTCCTGTGTTCCTGATATTTTACCTCACCTTAATGTTTCTGGTTCTAAGACTTACATTTCTATAGCCTTTGTCCACATGAAGATCAACTATATGTTTTTTAACATTTTGCTTCTGAATTTAGGCACTGCTATCAGTAAATAAATATATATCATAACCTTTGACTTTCTAGATCTAAATGATGGTATATAATTTCTATGTACATATCCAAGTTTTCCTCAAATCTTCACTGTGGATCTCTTAACCCAGACCTCAACTAAGCACCTCGTTGATTCCCTCTAATATTTGGTGTTTGTCTACACATTTGTCAACTAGCTCGTCAGTTTTCCTTCTCTTTCACTGACCTGTGTTATGGTTTCCTTGTTTATACTTCTTCCCCCCTTACGGAATGGCCATACTTTTGTGCAACTTTGCTTCTAAAGTGATGCATATACTACAATTATTCCTATCATGAAATAAATGTAAAATAATTAATTATATTTCTGTCTCTAGTTTAATTCAAATCTTATTAATTAACTCTAATCAATATTCAGTTCAGATCTCTAGATCTCTTCTCTCATATATAACAGTGAATACAATTAAATATACATTATTTTGCTTCCATAAGTGCATATTAACTACTCTCCAAAGTGAAATTTGCAGACAGTTTTGTATTTAAACAATGTTTTCTATTCAAGTTAATTGACCTGTAAATACACGAAATAATTCAGTAATTATTGCATGTATGCCTAATAATATTCAAATACTTCTCTCTCATGTGCATACCTTGTCCAAATGTTTCAAATACAACAGTGTACTATAAGTGCACCTACTAACTGATGTAATAAGAATCACTTTGAACCCAAGGCATGATATGATTTACTGGTAAAATGTAAGCTTATGGGCATTATCTTCTTATGGGATCTTTTGAGGCATAAGTGCACACTAAGAGTTCTTGACCATGTTTTATTGCAAACTTAAGCGACTTTCACAGCCACTATTAACCATAAGTTGTTGCTATATGTCACACATCAAAAGTATCAGTTAGCTATTATTAAATGTCATGCAGCTAGTGGGTAATAATATTTTCTGTTTAGTGGGTTATTGTGCTTTAAATGTCATGGTTTGTCTAAATACATACATTTTTTTTATAACCGAGTTCCCTCCTTGTTAACGTTGTGGTAGTGAGAACTTAATTACAGGTAAATTGCATTTGTACTAAGAAACTCTTACTTGGGCTAAGTATATTAAAGAAGAAATGTCATTCCTCACTAGATAATGAAATTGAGCTTATTAAAAGCATTACTTGGTCAAATTACAAGGGAATTACAAATGTAGTAAAGTGGCACCCCATAAGCTTAAATTTTACTTGAAAATTAACTAAGGAACTCTTAATAATATTTTATAAAATAAACAAAATTTAAAACCAGTTATAAAGTAGAGCAAACATTTTATTTTAGAGAGAGAGAGAGAGAGATCAGAAGCAGTGTTACAACCACATGAAAAAAGAATGACTATATACATTCACACACACACACACACACACCAAACTAGATCTTAGTACAGTACTTGACAGGATTTTCATAAATATTTTTGTTAAAGTTCTGTGTTGTATCTGTTTGTGAAGTTGTAAATTGAAATGGCTTTATCGTCATCATTTTTCTTTGTCTTCCACTTATTGACCATCAGGGCTGGGTTTGAGTATTTCCTTATACAGTACTTGTATGACATAATTGCATTTCCAGCTTCTGCTGATGATTTTCTTGTTCAATTTATCTTAATTTAAAATTTATTTTTGCTCACCGTGTCTGTTCCCCTATTTATCTTTTATGTAGGGATTATATTCCTTTGCTCCTACTCTCCTTTTGAGTTATGAAATTAAGTTCCCATAACCTGTGCTTATAGCTTAGTCCTCTCAATTTTGGTACTTGGCTTGTTGCAAACTATGGCAGATTTGCAAGTTTCTTTCTGGGAGACTCCCTCTGTGGTTCAATCAGTTCATCCTCTTCCTAACACTCCGGATGATTTGCCAGGTAATATCAATCCCAGTCTTGTCACATTTTCTTATATCTGTGGGATGCGCATTCATATGTCCCTATCCACCCGCAGTTCAGGGATTGACTGGGGTTTTGATTGGGCACCTTGCTTACCAATTTTAAGTTCTACCCTTCTGGTTGACCTTGTATCCAGGATCTTCACTAAACTACATTGGTTGGTTTGGGCCCTTCAGCCATTCTGCTTGTGTTACACAGAATGCCAGCGATAGCATTCTGTGTAAGGTAGTTTGTATTAGGGTTTATCTTGAATGTCAAAAAATCCCAGCTCAAGCAGGCCCAATTTCTTCAGTGGCTGGGGCTGGTTTTGGATACCAAAACATCCTTCCCCTCTCTCACAGTCATCCTTACTGCTCCTGTACACTTTTCTACACTCTGTAATAGGCAACTCTTAACTTTTTTTTATTGAAACTAAGGGTGGTTGCTCTTGCTCCTAAATTTCTTCTCAATATCACCTATGTAATCTTTCCAATGTGATTGGTTCTTTGCTGACCGTGGGACTAGACAGTGCACGCTCGTGCACTGCACGAGTTGTACACATAATTAGGTAATTACACAAGCATCAGTTCTTGGCTGAGGCTTTGTCTCCAGCTGCTGGTACTCTGGGCAGGGTCTGTGGTTGTAGATGTTGCAGCACACTCACAGCAGTGAGGGAGTTTGTGCTGGTTTGGATGGAACTTCAGCTCCTAGACTGGAACCATCAGAGTTACAGTATATCTGTCTCTTTCTTCTAGTTCAAGTTCTGCTCTCATTGCTGTTCAAGTTTGAGAACTTTTGGGGCTGCTACATTGTCTTGGTTTCCATATGAACAGTTTAGCCCTAGTTTCTGGCCCTGCTCTCACAAACACTCGACTGACAAATTTATCAGGGTAACTCCACTGATCTCATTGTATGGAATTTCTAGATTTGCTGTACTCTCACCAGCTTCTCTCTGTATTGAATTAGATGGAAATACCCTTTTTAATTTGTTTTTCAAGATGTTTTTATACAAAATTTGTTCAAAATATTTTTGCTATTATACACACAGAAATCACAATAGCGTAATGCATCAAATGAACAAATCCACAAGGGCCGTGACGAGGGTTCGAACCTACGTCCAAGAGGATCCCAGGCGTAGGTTCGAACCCTCGTCCCGGCCCTTGTGGATTTGTTTATTTTTGCTATTGCATATTTCCTTTGTTTTTCATAAAATTGTAATTATTGTCACTTCTTTTTGAGCAATCCCATTTGGTTGTCCTCTAAGGTAAATCCGTCTATGGAGAGCAAAGTATTCACTCAGACCAAAGCCTATTTTTCAGCATTTATTTTCATCTTCATGCTAATTACTTAATTAATACAATGTGCAGTACAACTTATCATATTTGGACCTGTCAGGGGGAGAGCGGTGACAGAATTAGGTTTCTGCATCTACATTGTTGCAAAGAAGAAAAAAGATTGTGTTTTCAAAGAGGTTGTGATATTGCACAGCATTGGCAATGATAAGAAAATCCACTAGAGCTATAGGTGGGCGCAAACCTACGACCCCGGCATTGCCAGTCGCATACTCTACCACTAGACCACCGCTGATTTGAATAAAAATATATGCATTGACTGGCATATAAATATGGTGTCATTGTTCAACTCAAGTTCAGTTTCCTCTTGTGCAGTATCATTTTCAATCCATTAATAATATATGTCCCCTGAGCAAGAGTAAACATAGCTTTACACACAGAAATTACAATAGCGTGATGCATCAAATGAACAAATCCACAAGGGCCGAGGATTGAGCTATTACGTTGTCAACTGAGCAGTTACATTGTCGTAGCTCAGTCGATTAAGGCAGCGTCTGGGATCCTCTTTGGAATTAGGTTCGAACCCTCATCACGGCCCTTGTGAATTTGTTCATTTAAACATAGCTTGCTTCTTCTCTCCTTAAATACTTGCCAAACTATTTCAGTATTGATATTATTTGAGTCTATCATGAAAGAACTTAAATGTGGGTTTGATCCCATCATACGGTTTAATATTTTCTCATAAATATATCACATTCTCGCAATTTCATTGTAGTAATTTCAGTTGTTTGGTACTAAAAATTATTTAGCACCTGAGTTTGATGCTCTTCAGGACATTGACCTGAAACACCTAAGCAACTGGAAAAAATTTCCGAATGACAAAGGGTGAAAAATTTTCCCCCCAAAATCTTTGCCTGTACAAACCAAATCTGGACATAGTGCCTATGAATTGGTCCTAAATTAGCAAATCTTGTTACTGGAAAAATGTATATACAGTACTATACTAGACATCTGTGTATGATAAGTTGTACTGTAATAATTTCTTATAATGGTAACATAAAAAAGTATATAATTTCATTATACAAGCTCTGCTTTTATTAATGTCTGACAACTTTTTCATTTGACAACTTCTTTGCCCTTGTTGCGTATTTCCACTTACTATTCTATGCTTTTATGTTTACAGTCAGAATACAGTTTTCATCATGTTTTCTGTTGCTTTTGAACTCTGTTAGGTAATCAGTCCCCTTTTAATGAACAAGAAGTATACTATCTTAAACAAAATTTTAAATTATATTCTTCAGTTGTTTACTTAACTAACATGAGTTAAATTACTTTTATTTGGTTCACATATGATTGGCTTCACCTTTGTTTTACTTATGTTATGACAACTATATTCAAGAGTACTACAGCCATGTTATATTATGGATTACTATACCCTTCAGGGTTACTACAGCTGTATTACTGTAGATTACTATAGCTGTATTACTTTAGGTTACTACAGCTGTATTACTTTAGGTTACTACAGCTGTATTACTTTAGGTTACTACAGCTGTATTACTTTAGGTTACTACAGCTGTATTACTTTAGGTTACTATAGCTATATTACTTTAGGTTTACCACAGCTGTATTACTTTAGGTTTACTACAGCTATATTAATTTAGGTTTACTACAGCTGTATTAATTTAGGTTTACTACAGCTATATTACTTTAGGTTTACTACAGCTGTATTAATTTAGGTTTACAACAGCTGTATTACTTTATGGTTGCTACAGCTACATTACATCAGAGTTACTACAGGTGTTTTACAGTGCATTAACATTGTTGTATTACTTCAGATAATTACAGCAGCATTAGTATTGCTACAGCTGTATTACTTTAGTGTTAGGTACTACAACTGTATAATTCTTAAACAGCAACTTGGTCTCTAAATCAAATTCACATATTACCTGAAACCCTAGCAGTAACTCATTTTCTGTATTCCTCATGTAATGACTGCTGAACATGTATGACTGTTGATAAGATTTTAGATAGCAGTCATATTAATGAAAATCATTCTTGTTTGACCACAGTGCCAATTTAGTCCTGTATGTGGGACACATCATTTTCTACTCTCTTGAAATGTATAACTCTTGTACCATTGCACGTATACACTGTATACCCTCAAACGTGTCTCTACAGTCTTGTGTGTACTCTGCTCTCTTCGCTCTCTTGCTCTTATGTGTTTTGCTTTTGACACAGTATTGACTTAATATATAATATTTACAATTTCCGGTTCTCTATCATCTTACACTATGTATTCAATGTCTTATTCAATATCTGTTGATTTATTCATGTTTAGCTGTTATTCTTTTAAGTTCTGAACATACTGTTTTCTTTTCTCACTGCTGAAAGTCAATTTTACGTACTATATACTTACGAAACATCAGATTCTGGATTGTTCTTAGACAAATACTGGGAAAAATGTTGATTTTTTTTTTTTTTTTTTTTTTGTATAATGGGCATCAGTATTTCTTTTTCTGACTAACTCAGTACAGGACTCTCAGTGCCTATGATTTCTCCACCTGCAATAATACAAAGCAGTAATGAGGATATACTAGCTTTGCATATTTAGCATTCATCATAGAAATAGGCTTTATCTACCTATATACTTGTATATGCTTTATCTTTTATACGCACCTTGTAACTATTTTTACCTCTTTCTGATACATGTGGGCTAAATCTGGTTTCTTTTCTTACTGCCTGTTGCTAAACTAAGGTTTATTTTTTCCTCCTTATAGAAATGCTGTAAAATTACAATGTTTTATTAACACTTGCTTTCACAAATTATGGTAAATTTAACCAGCTTTTCTAACATTTTTCTGTGATTCAGTGAACTATTTTCCGTATACATATGCTTGTTAGTTTAATTATTAGTTTTACCTCTTGTTTCTTTCTGATCATCTGTCTATTTACTTTTGCTTTTGTCTTATTGTATTATATACTTTCTATTTCCAACATCTATCTTTTGCATAATTTTCCCCTTTAAATACATTTATTACACCCTTTTCTTCTCCTTTTTTCTAGAGGGGCCTCTTGATGGCTCCCTGGCATTGTCTCGCTGAGGTGACGTCCCACTATTAAGTCACATTAGCCATAGTAGGCTGTTTGGCCTACTGGCCACCAGAGCCAGAACCTGGCCCCCTTTATAGAGGTACAGGGAGCTGGAGAGTGTTATGATCACCTACACCAAGAAAGCATCGAGAAAGTCAATGAAGCCATGCAGAGAACTGCAAGGTTCACATAAAACAAACCCTAAAACAGCTAAACGACTCTGCAAATGATTCGTTTAAACAATTGGTTCATTCAAATCTAGTGAAGTTTTGAGTGAACCAATTGCTTTGAATGAATCATTTGTAGAGTCATTTTGGCTGTTTTGGTGTTTCATTTTCTGTGAACCTTACATCTGCCTGTATTGGTTCACTGACTTTCTGGATGCTTTCTTAGTGTGGGTGATCATAACAATCCCCAGCTCCCTGTGTGTTTATGAGGGGACTAGGTTCTAACTCTGGTCCCCAGTAGACCAGGCAGGATTTCAATGACTGATGTGACTCTGTAGTGGAAAGCCATCTCAATGAGATAGCTACAGGGGACCACTGGGGCTCTACCAGAAAGAGGCATTTCATTATGTTCAACACTGGATTAATGCTTATCTATTCCCACAAGTTTTTTGTTTTCTATTTATCTATTTCTACTTTGAATTATTCTTTCCTTGGTTTTCCCCTTTCTTTCCCAACTATTCCTCCTCTCACTAACATCCCACCTCTTTTTCCCTGATTCCACTTTCCTCCCATAATCCCCTCTCCTTGTTCTCTCTCATCCCTTTCTTTCTTGATTTTTCAATGCTTAGGTTTATCTCCTTTTGTTATTTCTCATTTGGTAATTTCTTACTTTCCTCTTTTTTTTGTCTTTTTGCTATGTGAATCACCTTTTATTACTTCCTTTCTCACTTGTGAAGTGTGGAAAAAGATAAATAGGAATGTTTAAAAATATATACAAGGGGCAGTAAGCCAAACAGGAAATTAAAACAATAGTAGTAAAATGAGATAAAAGGGAAATGAGCAGGAAATTGCTAAAAAAAATTAAAAGGAATTGGAAAAGGTGATAATAAGAAAAAATCAGAAGAGAGGAGATAATACTTCTTTTTTTTTATCTCATTATTCCCCATGTTTGTCTTCTTTCCACCCACTTACTTTTTCCTCGTGCTTATTTGTACTGTACTTTACTGCTACCAACTCTATTTTTCTCATTTGTTTTTATCTTATATGTCTTCCTCCTCCTTCCTCTTCCTCCTGCATTCTCTTCTTCCCTTCCCTTTTTCCTCTTCCACTTTCTTCCTTTTGCTCCATCTCCTTTTCTCTTCCACCACCATCTCCATCTCCTCCTCTGCCTACTCATCTTCTTTTTCCCTACAACTCTGCTTCCCTATAATTCCCTACTACTCTGCTGATCTCATCTTTTTCCCCTCTATAATTTTGATTATCTTTGGTGTTATTATCTCATTTTGGCATTTTTCATCTTTCCTATTTGTGTGTGTACTTCTGCTATCTGCTCGTCTCTCTCTCTTTTTACCCATCTCTTTCACTCCTAGTTTCATGCCTTTCCTTTCATCCCTTCTTATGTGTATCAGTTGGTCACTCCTTGTTCCCTGTCCCTCACATCCTTATCTTTGTAAAAACTCATCACTGCCTGACGTTTCCTTTATTCTTACTACATGTTTTCTTCTCTCCGGGCTTTTCTTCTGGCTTCTAACCTCGCCTCCGCTTGGCCATGGATAGGTAGTGGAAATCGTGTACCGTCAACTGGGACTCACTCGTCGACAGTTGAAACTTCTACAACACCTGGTCCCGGTAAGGTCTCATTTTCTCCTTATATTCTGTCAGTTTCTTTCTCTGAGAATCATTATATTATTTTCAGTTGATGTTCTTATTTTAAGCCAACATATATGTATTTTGTAGTAGAATATGCTTGCATCTGTTCATTTGTTATATGCACTTAAAGTGTATATGTTACTTATTATGCTATAATACAGTACTGATGTCAGCATGTTGATCATTGGATTATGATGACTGTGACCACTATATTGTACTTCATGTAGTCAAAATAGCATTGCTTTGCTTGCACTGAGATAGTCAACTTGAAGAGGGTTTAAACCCCTAGTGTTGCATTTCTGTTTTATATTTTAAGTTTAAATTCTGTCTTTCACCAAATCATTTCATTCACTTCTAAATTCATTATTGACATCATTTCATTTTCAGAGTACCCACGTACACATAATTCTTAAATAGGCATGTGTAGTTTTAGTTATAAAAATAAAAGTCCACCACTGCAAATGATAGCGCATGTATTATTACTTCCAGATAGTCATGCATGATACATAAGGTTTCCTGCGGCTTGTATTCAAATAGATAACTATCCCCCCAACAGAAACCAGACTTCCTATAAGAAGCAAAATATAAGATAAACAACTTTCTTCAAGAAAAGGAAATAAGAGAGGAAAGCAGTTCTGCACTCTTCCCATTCTTCTTGAGTTAAATATTTAACTTTTATCTTATTATTTATTTGTAAATAGGTTTATTTATTTTAATAAAAAATAATAATTTTCTTATGCTTTGATTATTATTTAAATTCTAATTATATTATAGGTAGGATTTTTTTATATGTTGCATGTGCAGAATATTTAATTGGAATTTTAATTTGGTTTGTAGATCAGTAAAAAAAAAAATATATATATATATATATATATATATATATATATATATATATATATATATATATATATATATATATATATATATATATATATATATATATATATATATATATATATATATATATATATTTTGTATAAATATACACTCACATTTATATATCTACTGTACACATTTAAATATAACCTTTCAAGGCATCATATTACAGAGCACTGTACTGGAAAGACAGGATACCATGAGTGTAATTACTTAAGCGTAGTTAACAGGATGAGAGCTACACTCGTGGTGTCCCGTCTTCCCAGCACTCTTTGTCATATAACGCTTTGAAATTACTGACGGTTTTGGCCTCCACCACCATCTCACCTAACTTGTTCCAACCGTCTACCACTCTGTTTGCGAAATTGAATTTTCTTAAATTTCTTCGACAGCTTTGTTTAGTTAGTTTACATCTATGATCTCTTGTTCTTGAAGTTCCAGGTCTCAGGAATTCTTCCTGATTTCAGCAGTGTAGCTCTCAACTTGTAACTACACTTAGATAATTACGCTTAGGTAATTACTCATAGCCTGTGAAGAACAGGTTCCGATTTTTAGAAAATTGGCTAAGATATCGATCTGGAAATATAAATGGAAGAAAATTACAAAATATTTTATTATTTCTGTAGCTGGTGAGTCCTATGTGCTAGTATATTTTTTGGTAATCTTTTAGTGTACAAATAGATTAACAATATTATCTCACAAGATATGTCAGATGGAAGTTGGAGCATGCAGTGTTAATTTGGTACTCTCACTTAAAGAACCATATACTGTACAGTATATAATAATGTAAATGTCCAAAGAACCTTCAACCAAATTAAGAAATATGAAGTACTGTATAAAGAATGAGTACGAGTTCAGAAATACTGTATTATAAGTTACGGGAGAAATAAAAGGCATGATAACTACATAGAAGAATATGAAAAATAAACTGGAAAGACTTCTTGAAGCTAGCAGTAGGTAACAACAACAAGACTTGACTGCAAATTGCAAAACTAAAATTGTGATTTCTGTGTGTATTGAAGTAAGGGCGAAGAGGTAGAACAGCTTGTTGACAGAGCACGGGTGCATTTGGAGAATTGTGTGAAACCCCGGTTTGTGTCTCGCAGAGGCTGCGGGATCTGTGTGAGGCAGTAGCACTCCCAATTGCAATTCTTTAACCATGTCGTGGCGCAATCAACTAAGGCGCGTCTCGGATCATCCCGGACATAGGTTCGAGCCCTCATCATGGCCCTTGTGGATTTGTTCATCCAAAATAGATAATCACCCACATGCAGGCTGAAATCAGGACGAGGGCACACAGGTGGAAACTGAACACCTGAACAAATCAAAGGAATTAAAAAAAAAACACTTTAGTATGAGGGTTGTGTGAGAGTAGAATGCACTAGAGATGGAAGTAAGAGCCAAACTCCATGTATAAGTTCAAATGTAGATATGAAAAATTGTAGTATGGAGCAGTTACATGGGGTCCATGTGTCATCACTCGTGGCACATCAACAAAATAAAGTGCAAAAACATGTTACCAAATGGCTTTTGAGCTGAGAAACGAGCAATGTATAGAGCCCAGAGGCACTAAATATGCCAGGTCTAGTAGATGAAAAAGCTTTTGTACATATTTTCAGCATCTTGTTTTCATAACCTTTTGTTCTTGATGTTGGTTTCAAAAATTTATTCTTGTTAACTTTGTCAATTCCTGTCATTATTTTTTTGTGTGGTGATCGTGTTGCATCTTTTCCTTTTTTGCAAATAGAGTTGTGGACACCTGGAATAATTTAAATGGGAGGGTGGTAGATACTACAACCACCAGAGGCTTCAAAACATATGATAAAGATAATTTAAAAGATAGGGCACTACGAGCTTAGCTCTCATCCTGAAACTATGGTGAAGGTTTGGGGTAGTTTTATGCACACACACACACATGCACATTGATGTACATAGATATATTCATACATTGAGAGGTGGGACCAAAGAGCCAAAGTTCAACACCCACAAGCACAACTTGGTGAGTACCTACATATACTGTATGCATACATATACAGTATACATATATTTATATACATATATACATTCACCTGCATATCTATATATACGTACATGCATGCATGCATACATACATACATACATACATACATACATACATACATACATACATACATACATACATACATACATACATACATACATACATTCATTCATTGGCCTGTAGCAAGAGGCTACAAGATGACCTAGACAAACTGAAGGAATGGTCCAATAAATGGCTACTAAAAGTTTAGCCCAAATAAATGTAATTTAATGAAACTAATTGAAGGAAACAGGAGGCCAGACAAAGGCCAGGAGGCCTTTGTCTACCGAATGGGAGACAAAGTCCCCCACAAAGGAAACGGAGAGAAAGATCTAAGAGTTGATATCACCGAACCTGTCTCCGGAAGCCCACAGTAAAAGAACATCATCAGCGATGAATGTGAGGCCAGCTAACATCAGAACAACAGTATAGGATGAGGAGAGATAGATTCTTTAATAAAAAATTGAGAATGACCTGGGAGTAGACATAATTTCAAATCTAATTCCAAAAGCCCACATTAGCAGAATAACAACAATAGCATGTGGCATACTGGCCAATGTCCATGCATCCTTCAGAAACTTGAATAAAGGGCGGTCTGGGCTCTATAAACAACAAAGGTGAAAAACACTCCTGAATATGCATCCCCAGCAAGGAATCCTTTCCTAAAAACGGACAAGGGAAAAACTAGAAAAGGTTCAATGACATGCAGTTAGGCTCGTTCCAGAGCTGAAGGGATTGAGCTCTGAGGAATGACAGAAAAACTGGGTCTTACCCCACTGGAGGAAAAGATAGATAAGGGGGACATAACAGCCTGTAAGATTTTAAGGGAAATTGATAAAGTAGACAAAGCAGTATTGTTCAAAGCTTGAAACAGCACAATGAGGAATCATAGATGGAAACTAGAGAGACAAATGAGTCAGAGACCTCAGGAAAAACTTTTTCAGTGGTAGAGTTGTCAGTTAATGAAATAGATTATATGTAGAAGTTGAAGCTAATTCACTATAAAGTTTTAAATGTAAAAAAAAAAGCGTGAGAAATAAGCCATTGCATTAATCTAAGAATGTTCATAAGGCAGGGCTAGAAGTCTAGTTTTACCCTTCAAGCACATTTAGGTGAGTGTGTATACATACATAAATTGTATGATATATATATATATATATATACATACATATATATATATATAAACATACATATATATACATACATATATATACAGCCTCTTTTTATGTAAAAATATGATTTTTTTATACCTAATTTTGTGCACATCATTTTGCAGTTTATGATTATAGCATGGTTGTGTTCCCTACTGATTCTTCTGGCTCAACATATGTTCCAACGATATTGAACCCCACAGGTATTGCTTTTTACTTATTTTACACATTTTTGTTCTTTTTATAATTTGGTTTATTTAATTTTTCTGTAGAAATGCACAATAACTTAGATGAGCTTTCAAAGAACCACAAATCTATTTATTAGAACAATGTAAGTTATATTTTGTTTTGTATTACTTCAAACATAATGATCACTAGCTACTAAATTTTGGTGTCCAAAAATTGGAACCTATTCCTCTAAAAAAAAAAATTATAAGGAAGTATCATTTGAAGGTTTTGCATTTTGCAATGCTGTCAGGTTCAATATAGTATTTCAACAAATATGGATTACTGAATAATGTTAAACATTATGGTGTTGGATTTAGCAATATTCTACACAGTTCTTTTTAAAACATTGATATATTTTGCTACCATTACATACTACTATTTTAATGTACATACCAATGTAATAATATAACAAATAAATACAGTACAGTACATTATTATTATACTTAAAATTGTGTTTTCATTGAATAATAAGATCTTGCTACTCAGTATTGACCACATATACACATGAGCACATTCATGTATGATAACAAATGCTTCCCTGTCTAAATGTTCTTGTGATATTTTTACTGATTTTGTATTTTAGTTTTAGTGACAACAAAACGAAATCTTTAAGATAATGATGATACAACATACAGGTACTGTATTTTAAAAATAGCTTTAAAAATCCTAATTTAATAAAGAACATGTCCTCACACGGATGTCATATCCTTTGGCTGAACTGGCAGTAGAAATAGCATAACTTTTCTGTGGGGAGCACCTTCGGCTCCTTGGAGCTATCGGGCTAGTATGCGAATCATTAGACCGGAGCATTAGTCTATGGAGGTCAGCCTACCGGGGGATCACAAGCCAGAACCTCACCCCCACAGAGAGGCACAGGGAGCAATGGAACTGGAAAACTTCCCCTGTGGTTGGAGGTTTTCCTTATCTGCCATTGACCAGGGTTAGGCACCCAGAAAGGTAGGCATAACAAAACAGACACCACATGATAAGAAAATTGTAACCGAAAACCGAACAGTGAGGCAGAACTCCCTCCAATCCCAAGGAAACATGCAAACAAGCAAACATCACACCTTGTAGTCGCACCGCTCGTCCGTGTAGCCCTCCTCTTCCTGAGGAAAGGAGAGGGGGGAGCCCTGGACCCCCCCTACGCCAGCGACCTAGCACTCCATTTCGTCAGCTAATGCAAACTGGGGCGGACATCTTCTCTGGCCTCACTTTCCAAGCAGTGTTTTCCTTCATGGTGTTTTCTGCGGTGTTGTGTGTGGTAGCCAGGTGTCCTCAAGAGAACCGGGGCTGCATGTGGAGGCATCCTTTCCTACGGAGCGTCCTGCGAGTACTGCCCTTGCATGTTAGGATTCTCTTCCCTGGTGCATTTGGGAATCATTTCTGTAGGGGTTTTTGCTGCTTGGCAATTACCGCACCCTTGGGGCCAGCTGGGGTTTCGTGGCCTTTGTTTGACTTTGGGTAGGGAAGTGGTATCGTGCTGGTTGGAGCATCAAGGTGTTGTGCAGCCTACTTACCTATGCAGCGGCCAGTTCCTGTTTCCTCTAAGAACGTTGTACTTTTGCGGGGTTTACCTTTTGTTTTTCTTTTCTTGTTTTTGTTCTTTCTTTTGTTTTGTCGACTCCTTCAGTTGGGTCTGCCAGACATATGGATTCCCGGAAGTGGACCTCTTTGCATCAGCTTGGCCTCAGCATCTCCTGATCTATGTGGCACCCTTTCCCAACTGCGAGGCCTTCACGGTGGACGCCTTTCGGCAGAACTGATCGAGATGGGGTTATCTGTACCTCATTTACCCAGTCCAGCTGAGCCAGTTGTGGCTCAGTTGGAGTCCTACCACAGGAGAGTAGTCCTCATGGCCCCTTGGTGGCTGGCCCAGCCTTGGTTTCAGGCACTGCTTGCTTGGTGTGCAAACCTGGGATGTTTTCGGTGGCTCTGCCTCTTCCAGCGAGTCAGACTGGCCTGGTACACGACTGGTTCGGTCGTCTCCTCCGCTCTTCATGTCTGGTCTTTTTTATGTGGGTTTATCGCCATTTTTATGGTGATTAGGTGGCTTCATTGATGGTGTCCCACCTGAGAGCTTTGTCTCAGCAACAGTATGAAGTTTTCTGGTGTTTATTCAGCCATTTTCTATCTCTTCATTGGTTGTCTTATATTTCTGATCAGGTTGTCTTGTCCTTTCTTTCTTTCTTTCTTTCTTTCTTTCTTTCTTTCTTTCTTTCTTTCTTTCTTTCTTTCTTTCATGGCTTTTTCAGGACCATCATCTGGTGCCTAATACTATTGCCTCATACTGTTGCCTCTTATCGTGCAGTACCGGCAGAGCCGCTCCGACTTGCATTCGGGGGGTGGATGTCACTTCTGCATCCCTTCCTCAAGCTTTCTTATGCTTTGTTTCACCTCTGGCCTGCTCATGCGCCGCCTGAGCCGTCCTAATCTTCGGACAGAGTGCTCTTCTTTTTCTCTTCTCCTGGTTCGTGGTGGCACCTATGGTTCCAGATTGTTTTTCCAAGGCTCTATTTCTGTTGGTATTGGCCTTTGGGGGTCGGGTTGGTGAGCTTCATGCTCTCCTCCGGCGCAGGGGTTTCTGCTCTGATCCTGGCACTGGGATTGTGCAGTTGCATTTTTCTCCTTTTTTTCTGGCAAAGAATGAGATGGCTGCTTTCCGGAGGGTGCCTTGGGTTATTAAAGCTTGGTTGGTCTGGCTTGGGTTGGTCAATCCAAAGGGATGCGCTTTGGGTTGATCCGGTTTCCCACATTCCCTGTTCCTGGGCTCAGGTCTCCCAGGTCATCCGTAGGGTTATTAAGTCTAGCCAGCCTGCGTTCTATCCTAGTGCCCATGACGTTAGGAAGTTTACTGCTTTGGCTGCCGTGTTTTCAACATGTCTTGGGCTGATATACGGGCAAGGGGATTTTGGAAGTCAAACAGGATCCTGGCTGCCCGATATTTGGTTAACGTTCCTGCTCCTGGACATTCATGTGTTGCTTTGGGTCGCGGGTTGCAACCACTTGTCTCAACTTCGCGATAAGTAGTGTGTGGCGGCCGCCTCACTGGTAAGTCCCTCTTTTCCTTATCTTTGGTTAGATAGCTCCAGGGAGCCGAAGGAGTTCCCCTCAGAAAACAAGCGTTAAAAGTAATGAAACACCATTTTCTGGGTGAGCCCCAGAGGCTTCCTATCACCCTCCCTCCCTCCATTTGGCAGTTTTTCACATTGTTTTGACGCTTAGCTTTTGAACTAGAGTGCTAGGTAGCCGATGTGGGGGGTCCTGGGCTTCCCCCTCCTCCTCTTGGAAAAGGGAGGACTGCATGGACGAGCGGTGCGACTACAAGGTGTGATGTTTGCTTGTTTACTTGTTTTCTTAAGATTTGAGGGGTTTCTGCCTCTCATTTCGGTTTTCGATTGCAATTTTCTTACCATGTGGGGTCCATTTTGTTATGCCAACCTTTCTGCCTAACCCTGGTCAATGGCAGATAACCAAAACCTCCAACCATAGGGGAGTTTTCCAGGGCGATTGCTCCTTGTGCCTCTGAGGGGCCAGGTTCTGGCTTGTGGTCCCTGTTAGGCTGAATTCCATAGACCAATGTCTAATGGTTCACATATTAGCCTGATAGCTCCAGGGAACCTCCGGGGCTCACCCTGAAAATGGCGCTTCATTACAGTCAACGCTGGTTTTATCGAATTTCACAAATTAACATAGAAAACTGTTGGAAATGATATTTCCCAAAGTTGAGACGCACTTTGATTGGAAATTATATTTCCCACAGTTGGGAATGTATAATATGAGAGCAATGCATTGACAGCAACACACACACATTGTATTTATTCTGTTTACTATATAAGAACATAGGAACATAAGAATGAAGGTACAGTAACTGCGTTCATGACTATTTAAATCTCTTCAACATGCTAGGGCTGCATAAGCATGAATTGTGCATCAAGCCTGAATAAATAAATAAATAAATAAATAAATAAATAAATAAATTTATATATATATATATATATATATATATATATATATATATATATATATATATATATATTTATATATTTATATATATATATATATATATATATATATATATATATATATATATATATATATATATATATATATATATATATATATATATATATATATATATATATATATATATATATATATATATATATATATATATATATATATATATATATATATATATATATAATATACTCGGGTGCCCCACGGGTGTATGTAGGTGTGGGTGTACGTGGGAGCCCTATGGGACTCCCTCGGATGCTGCATGTTATCTTCTCCAAGGTCGAGGGTCCCTACAAATACATACATATATATGTACATACATACATACATACATACATACATACATACATACATACATACATACATACATACATACATACATACATGTGGTGTGTGTGTGTGTGGTGTGGAAAAAAAAAAAAAGTAGTTAGTAAACAGTTGATTGACAGTTGAGAGGCGGGCCGAAAGAGCAAAGCTCAACCCCCGCAAAAACACAACTAGTAAACACATACATAAGAACATAAGAAGGACGGTAACTGCAGAAGGCCTATTGCAAATACGAGGCAGCTCCTATTTATATCCACCCAATCTCATTCATATATATGTGTAACCTTAGCTTGAAACAATCAAGGGATCGTACTTCTATTATGCTATGCGATAATTGGTTCCACAAATCAACAACCCTGGTACTGAGCCAGTATTTACCCAGGTTTTAACTAAATCTAAACTTTTCCGATTTATGCCTATTGATTTGTATTCTGTCTTGTGTTGATACTTTTAATACTCTATTAATATCCACTTTGTTATGTCCATTCATCCAGTTGTACACCTTTATCATGTCACCCATAAGTCTTCACCTTTCTAGAGGATGTAATTTAAGCTTTGTCAATCTTTCTTTATATAACAGGTTTCTAATTTTTGGGATTAACTTTGTCATCCTACGCTGGATGCGGTC